ACAGGTCCTCCCACCTCCCACTTCTCTACCTTATCTAGTGCTGAGTACAAAGCCCGCAGTGCCATATGGAAAGACTTCTCTGACTTTCTCTGGCACGTGTGCCCTGCCCCCATGCCAGTGTCAGCCAGTACTCTCATCTCCTTCACCCTCGGCTCTCTGTACAGAATCAGGCTAAGATATATGAATTTTTCATTTAATAGATAAAAATTGGCTCAATAGTGACAATTTCATGTGGTTTCAATGAATAGCTCCACACATCTGTGATGTTCTAACCAAACTTCACTTCTTTCTCTTCAATTAGACTGTGTCAGCGCCTGACACATAGCAGATCTTTTGACATTTGACGTTCTTTTGAAATGTCTTTTGACATTTTCAAAATGTTTGCCTTTTTCTCTGCTAGCGTACCCAGAACACTAAGTGTCACATAATAGGCATTAAATATTAAATATGTATTTATTGAATGAATGATGAATAAATATGCCTTAAGCCAATTTGTTTTTACGTATATAAATAGAGCAGAGGCCTCTTATTTTTTTACTTTTCCTAAGGTTGAAGGCTGATTGTTTAATTTTCTCGACTTCAATTCTATTTTTCCTTAAAACCTAGGTTCCTTATCCTTTAATCATTTGATTGCTCAATAATATCATCTCTGAATTATCCTTGTCCTTTTTTAAACAGGGAGAATAATGCCAAGCACAATACCCTGTTGCTGTGACCAGTGTGTCTTGTGAAAAAGAGATGATGTCCCCGATGTTTTGTGCCTTAGTCTCATTGAAACTTCAAACATAATTGCTTCCATCTTGGCACTTTAAGAGTAATGCATGAGAATTACCAAAAGCACATCTGTAGAACTTTTCTTTTCCTTGGAGAGTGAGCACTTCTACCTTCATGCTGCTAGTTAGTAATCCAAGAGTGATTCTCCTGATCGCTGATAAGCTGTCTGATCTTCCTTCTTTCTCTCACTGCCTAAGTTGGGGGCCATTTTGAAACCCAGAGGTGTAAGCCCTAAAGAGTAAAAAGAAAATGAAAATAAATGCCACTTCTTTTCCAGGTCCTATCACTATTTTATGAACATCTTGGTTAATATATAATGAGGAAGATACTGAAACAAATGACAAAAATGGGGATTATCTTTGTATTTCACCTCTTCAGCTTCTTCTGTTTCTCAGAACTGCTCTGTGGTTGGTGATCTTTCATTTAAGGTGGTTCATGCAAATGGGCAATTACCAAAGGGATAAGGGTGCCTCCTGCTCTACCTAAGGTTGGTCCCAACAGTAAACAATTATGAGGGAAGAATGAAACCATCGCTGGTCTAGTTTCAGGTCTGTCCTTTGTTCGTTTGTAAACTGTCAGACCCTTGTTAGCCCTGTTTTGCCCCTCCATATGGTGATAGATGTCTGGCAGGAATTTCACCAAAGGCAACAGATGGGCAAGCATTTTTGCATGATCTTCATGACTATTTACTTTTATAGTGGTAAAATTTAGTTTTACATTTTAGCCACATAAGTTCCTTTTCTTGACATTCTGTGCTTGTAGAAGAGGTTTGGGTAGATTTCATCTTTTTATTTTTCTATNAAAAAAAAAAAAGAAACTTGACGGAGAACTAAAGGAAAATAGGGCCAAGCCTAGACCAAGGAAAAATATTTTTAAATCTGGAAGTTTTATAGGTTGAGAGGAAGAGAGCTAGTAAATGGAAAAGTGAAAATGGCAGGAGAGAGGCAATAAATAATTCATAAATCAAAGTTTTAGAGAAAAGCTGATTAGATGCAGAGCACAGGCAGATAGATTCACCTTAAAAGTGAGAGAGGAGGGAGAATCATCAAAATCCACATAGGGCCCACTTTTACCTGTTTACTGCTCAGGCTCAGTGTCCCCCTGTTCCCAGCCATTGTTTTCTATAAATAGACAGAACTGCATCAACTGGTTCCTCCTGTCACAGTTCCAAGCTGAAAGGCTGCTTTTTGATTTGGGGTCAAATTATGAATGCATATAACACATTTTTCCTGGGTGGAGCAATTTTACATTTCAGGATGCTTGAATAGTTAAATATATGACTTCATGATTATGCTGTGTTTTTTGTTATTTATTTACTAAACATATGGCCAAAGCCATGGAAGAGCTCTCGTGTCAGGCATCTCAGTGTATTCTCATAGTGGCCTTGAGAGGTTAGTGACAAATGTCATCCCCACAGGTATCAGCATGATGGATCTGAGATACTTCAGGATGACATACTCTTCGAGGTCACAGATGGCACGAATTCAGTAGAATTTGTTCTACACATTGAGGTGGGTAGAAAGTGTCCTCTCTGGTTCATATAGAAGTAAAGCATCTGATTTGGAGCCCTCTTAGAGTCCCTGATAGAACTTGAAACACACCAACTCCAAAGCAACAGCATGCCTGCTTACATCCTTGAATGTCTCAAGATAGGCGATAGAAAGCAAAGTTGTATTGGTGAAATGGGCAAATGGGCATCCAGTTTTGTTTTGTTTTTTAATTGGGGAATTGGGGAGGGGAACAGCATTGGGGGGAGGTCGGCACACCCAACATCCCATGTGGGAGTCGAACTGGCAATCTTGTTGCACACTGAGCCACCGGTTGCCTGTTGGCAGCACGCAGCTGCTCAGCTCAAGGTGCCATGTTC